ATAATATACTGTCATATAGACTACTGGTTAAAATCAAGAAAAATATACGCTTTCAAGCTAAATCTTAAATAACTTAAAAACGATTTATTTTAGGTACAGGAACATGTATAGTCAAAAAGTAACAAATTTTAAAAACGGAAGTAACGAAAGCCATTTCACGAGTGAAATAAAAAAAAGTTGATTTCCATTTGAAAAAAAAATTATTTATGATAATTTTTTAATCGCTCAATTCCATGACAGCTGCGGCCATTATTATATGACATTCGGACAATTTAATTTTTGGCTTAGATAGCCACATGTGGTTTTGACTTAGATAGCCACATGACTTAGATAGCCACATCTTTATGGTACAGTGGCTGTGGCAATCACTAAATTCGACGTTTCGGCTATATACATATTTTTGACAGGCAGTTTTTTTCCTCCAAAAATTATAAATATTTTTTTTCTCAAAAACGGTTAACGTTAGGTATAGAGTGTTTAATATCAAAATTCATAAAATTTTACAGAGAATTTAAGTATGTAATAAAAAATGGGGTCACCCATTTAAAATAAGAAAGTTGCTGTCAACTTCCGGTACTTCCGAAAGTGCCGCCATATTGAAAATATTTTTAATCGATAGATCTCATTATGAGACAATGATATGCACAAAATCTCGTATCTAGATATTGTAGTTCTCTAGAAACTTCTAACGCAGGCTCAGCCTGGGACACCCTGTATAAATACTTAAATTTTGTCAACCATTATACATACGTCATTCAATTTTTACAAAATGTGCATTAGAAGCATATCATTATCTAAACAGACCGGGGGCCACATTTAGCTTCGCCGCCCCGGGCCCCCGACAGGCTTAGTCCGCCACTGTGTACCGCTGTCAAGAATTACAATAAAATGAAGTATTGAAGAGTTGCGGTTCTAGGTAAAGTGACAAAACGACGCTCTAACCTAGTTACATAGACCTGCTATCTATCGAGTCCGTTTTCTAATGGTTTCATCTGAATTTTCCAAGTCGTTTTTAAATCTTTCTAGTCAATGTGTCAACACTGGCCGTCGAGCAAGCTGAGATTCTGGTAATTGCTTGGTATTTTGGGCTGATTATCGATTGCTGCTGGCAGCTCTCAAAATATTGCAATTATTTTTTAAAATTTTCAAAGTTAAATAACTCGGTTATTATCAATTTATTTTAAAAAAGGTTATTTTAAAACATGTTTCTTTTGCCCAGATCGATCACCCCTTAAAATACTTGCACTTATCTTTGGGACAACCTGTATAGGCTCTCGGTACGTGATAAAATCAACAAATCAAGCGTAACAATTAATTATCGAGACTAGAGCAATAAGAACCCAGAACTGGAACAAATTGGACCATTATCTCTGTTCATATTATCTTTACATTGATTTACTTTCACGCTCTCATATATGCATCTAATTGCCTGTAATTTGAGATTTGTCTGACTAATTTTAAATTATTAACATCCGCACAATGATCTTTATCAAAAATATGTGGAGGAGCGCAAAATGTATTCTAATTTGCCCAACATATTTGTGATTGCAATCTTTACATGAAATTTCATTCACCCAACCTTTCAAGTGGAGGTGTTTTATCTTTAGGATTACCTAATAGTTGTAGCGCTATACACAAGTTTATAATTGAGATTCTTAATTTTTTTAAACCACCGAAAAACTCTATAAAACATTGAAATATAATTTACTGATACATGCCATATATGTGCTAATGTCTTGTCTAAATTTTCAAAAAGTAAAATATTTTATTTCACCAAGACATCTCCTATTTCGATTCGAAATATCTCTTATATTCCTCTATATCTCATATCATCCTGAGCGCAAATTATTTCTGTCTTTTTCCTTTGGCGTCACATCGCGTTCCAACACCACCCTCTCTCCTAAGAAGTCAATAAAAATCCATGACCTGGTATTTTTTCCAGAAGCACGGTAAAATAGAGAGAAAAGGAAACGAAGAATGTGCGGAAAATGGGTATTCGATGACGTACGATGGCTTTTATAGGTTAATATCTATTTCGAGCGGCTTGTGGTGAAAATTTTCCCAGTTTGGAGTTGTTGCCAGTCGTTTTGTGACGCCAACACGTTCCTTTTATCACAGGAAATGAATTATTAAATAACAGATTTTTAGATTAGCCTTCCTAACTTTGCAAAATAACAGATGTTAACTTAAAATAATACTTTTATTTTAATGACTTAATCATCATCATCATCATTCTCAGCTTATTCGACCATTTCCAATTATGGTGCAGCCTCCCTCACATGTTTAGCTATACTCTCTTTGTTGGGTCCATTGTTGTATATTTTTTGCTACTTGGGGGATTTGATTCTATGGATGACATCTATTACCTGGGTCTTTGGTCGTATCCACTCTATTCTTTTACGGTCCTTTTTAGTTATTTCCAGTATATTTCGTTCCACTGAGCGTTGTGCAACCTGCAGTTTTCTTGTAATGTACACATTCGTCGATGACTTAATATTTTCATGTTATTAATTTATAGACCCTAAAATTTCTGAAGTATCTCCGCTAACTAGCCATGTCTGAGAGCCAGGTATTTTAAGGAATTGTTTGTCTATTTGAATTTGTACGTTCGGCATCAATCGGGTGAAATCGAAACTCCTTCGGCTCGATACGTTGACGTTTTTTACCTACCGGGTGCGTCTCGAAAGTGGCGTACCCCCTATAACTTTTTTATTTTTTCAGATAAAAAGACGATATTTGTTATGTTAGTATATGACATAAATTAGGATTGATTGACATATTCAATTGTTTTCGGTCACTACAACTTTTGATTTTTAAATGGCACCATTGATATTTTTTTACTTTATTTGATAGAAAATGACACTTTGAATAGAATGACATATCATATGTCAACTTTTGACATTTTCGCATATGGTTTATTTGAAATTATAACATGCGGTTCATAACGACAATTTGACTTGAAATACCTACTAAGTGTGTGGTATCAAATTATTAGTAAAAATTGCTTTTTCCAAATATGCTAATGAGCCACCCTCGTTCCATTTGAAAAAATTGAAATATGACTAAAAATACGATATGGGCATATTTTAACCGGCCAGAATAAGACACTAAAATATTAGACAGTCAAATCTATTTTTCCAAGGCTCCTTGATTAAAAATTAGTGTTTTTAGCCATAGCACTCTAGATTGAAATTTAAAATACAATTTGTTTGTCAGTGAATATGTCAAAAGTTGACACATGATATGTCATTCGATTCAGAAAGTCATTTTCAATAGTCAAGAATCACATTTTCCGATAACTATAATCACCCTTTCCGTTGAAATGAATTAAGTAAATTTTGTACTCCTTTAACATTTTAAAATAGCAAAAAATATGTCATAATTAAAATTATATTAATAAGAATCGCTGTTTCCTGAAACCGAGGGCTTCGTAATGGCTATCCAGGACCAGGTAATCGCAAGCAGAAACTACCTAAAGTATATTGTGAAAGATACGACAATCGAAAATGACAAATGCCGATACGGGTGCCAAACAACGGAAGCCATCCAACATATGTTCCATCCAACTATGTCCAACCGTACCTGGATGTCAGATGTTTTCTGCAACCGAATATAAAGCAAGGCACGATTCCGTAGCGAAAATACTACACCAGGAACTAGCTATCATACACCAACTACAGCAAGCGGAAAAACTCCCGTATTATAAATATGTTCCAGAAACCAACGAAAATATATCTACACTAATATATAAAATCCTTAAGTGACTGACATACTGATTAATCACGATCCTGCTCAAACCACTCATCGTAAGAAGTTCAATTTTGGCATACAGGTTGACTCTAGGATGTAGAGGTTCTATAAGAACGGATTTTTCGAAATTCCAGTTCCAAAAGGATGAAACCACCCCTCAAATATTACAATATTTTTTATTTAAAAAACGGTCAAGTTTCCGAAAAAACGCTTAAACACGTATATTTTATTTTGTTTTTTACATATTTTAAGATTTTTTAAAAATGTATACAGGGTGTTTCGAAAAATCTGGTCATTGATTAATCACGATCCTGCTTAAAGCGCTTGACGTAAAAAGCTGATTTTTGGAAAACAGATTGACTTTAGGGTGTAGAGGTTTGATAAGAAGGGATTTTTTATAAATTTATACAGGGTGTTTCATAAAATATGACCATTGAGTAATCACGATTCGGCTTAAACTGATTTTTGGCAAGCGGATTGACTGTGGGGTGTAGAGGTTCGATAAGGAGGGGTTTCTCGAATCTCAAATTCCAAGAGGGTGAAAACGCCCCTCAAATAGTACAATATTTGTTATTTAAAAAACGGTTAGTCTTTCGGGAAAACGCTTGGACAAGCTTAATTTATTTGTTTTTTTTTTACATATTTTGATATTTTTTAAAAAAAAATCATACAGGGTGTTCCAAAAAGTTGGATAATTTCTTAACCACGATTCTGCTTAAACTGCTTGACGTAAAAAGCTTATTTTTGACAAACGGATTTTTCGAAAGTCGAATTCCAACGAGATGAAACTACCTCTCAAATATTACCAAGTTATATAATAATATCGCCATATCGTATTTTCTCATGCTGACATAAATGTGAGAAAATTTTATCCAGTTTGTATGTTAATGGAAATTCTTGCTTTGCTTTATCATCACCATTACAAATGTTTAATTCGACGCGAACGAAGTCGCTGGTACACGCTAGTATAACATATAACATAGAAAATAAAATATTTTTATGAAGAATGCATTTTTCTCAAAATGTCAATAATAAAAAAGTTTTTCCTCTTGTAAAGACAATCTGGAAACGAAAATACGCATCACAGATCCATAAACGCAAGTGAATTTCTCTCTGCGCAAGCGTACATGTCAAATGATACGTTTACGTATACGTCATTGGTCGTACTTTAACTGCCTATTATTCATAATTATCTGATGTGAATTTAATTTATTTACACTGATTTTTAACAACTGTTGTTTTCTTTTCAGGCCAATCTTACACATCTAAGCCGGAATACTTTTGTTCCTGGAATTGGTATGGGCATAGCCAAGTGCCCATACGATCCGACAGATAATTCTACAGCTGTATGGGTAGAAAAAGGCAATCCAGGGGACTTGCCAGGACTGTATTCAGGTATTTTATCATAATTTTATTATCAATAACCTTGTTATCGTATTTTATTAATTGAGGAGCAAACTTAAATGCATTTTATCCATTTTTTAAGACTTTCAACCAAAGATGGCATTGCAAACTACATACACAGACTTGCAATATGATGCCAGAAACGACGTGTTAAATACATTTTATCCCATTCGAATTCAATGGCGAAAATACCGTAGACTTTCTATGTGCTGTATGTTCATTGGCGGAAGAAGTATGTCCTTGTATGGCTGTGGAGATACTGCTGTTTGTTTGTCATTGCCAGATGGAAGAGTTTTTTTTTGTACTACAACTTCTCTATTTTTTGTATAATACTACTTAAAATAATGAATTAAACTACGACTGGGAACCATGTAGTTAGGGATACAGACAAATTTCACAGGTTTTTTTCATTCTTTCAGATATCATCAAAACTAGATTTTTCTCACGTAGGTGTACTATTTTTATGATTTTTTATCCATTTTTCAAGTATACTAATTTTTCGGTAAGTTTCTTGCAAAAAGCGTGGCAGTTTTTCTTTGTTGGCCAAAATTCGAAATAATGGAGGAAATGCATCTAGAAAGTCTGCTCTTCAATTCTAATTAAATATGAGTTAATTTAATTTGTTGTAGTTTTAGAAACAGTGAAACGTTCTTTTGTGTTTGTTTCAGGAACAAATGCCGAATTCACGAAAGCAGATACCGTGATTTTCCGTACGGATCTGCATAATTTAACCACCGGACGTAGAGAATACAGCTTCAAAAGAACGCTAAAATACGACTCAAAGTGGCTAGACAGTAAGTACATATTGTATCACATATTTTAACGAAATATGTATTTCTTTGTATACTCTATTATTTTGAGAATAGAAAAATTGTAGGTGAATTACGAGGTGAATTATTTCTGTGGCTAATTTTATTCTAACATTCAAATATTGTGCAGTAGAAACCACGGTATTTTTCAACTAAAAACTCCATTTCATACTCGGTAAAGTTAGTATTTGCCAAGTACCGACTACTCTGTTAAAAACTTCCAGTTTAAAGCAAATATAATTTTCTTTTCGCAGAGCTCAAAAAAAATTAAAAGTAAAAGAATATTTAAAAAACATTTTTAAACACTTTTAGAGGTTAGGTTAGGTATAGGAGAAGGGGTATATTACATTTAAAAAAAGAAAGAAGAAAAAAACTGTGTGTACACTATATGTGGGGTATTTGAAGTGAAACTTCTTACTAACAGCTATTAAATTGAAGGATTTGATGGATATACATATATTTTTTTAATGAGTGCTTTTTATAAACTTATTATTATTATAGATTTATAATTTTATAATGTTTGTTTTTAATTTTTGTTAAAAAACGATAATTCACCCGGCCGGATAGCCCTGGCAGCTGTGGCCATTAAACCAAAGTACTACTACATCTATATCTCTAACCAACAATTTGTCTTGTGTGGTCTGTTTTTGTTTAAATGTCTTGTTCGTTATTCATGTTGAGGATTTATTTTTAAATTAATGTTAATCGATAGGCAACCAGTAAACTCATTGAATATGTATTTCTTTTGCATAATTAAAATTGTCACTCTAAATTTTACATAACCAAATTGCCACTCTAAATCGCTGTCTTGACAGATGTCGGAATGTTGTTAACAAAAGTTTCATCTTAAAATAAAATTTTAATCAATCAAAATTGTATATCTTCATCATTTACCGGATTAATAATACAGAAATTACAGTTCAATTACAAACAATTCATTAGTTATAGTGATTTACAGTAATTTCATTAAATTATAGGAATATTCTCGTTGATTATTGGTTTGAAATGAATATGACAGTGTCCTCCAATGAAAATACGTGTTACTAACTCTAAATTCTAATTCTAAGCTGGCAAATGAGCTAGATGCTTTACCTAGACCGTTATTCAGAAGCTACAAACCTATCGATGAAAATATGCATGAAGATATACTTCCTAGCCAACAAGGTACAATATCAAGTTTATTATAGTGATTTTCTTAGCCGCATATGGCACAGATCGTTACCCAGTGTTGCCACAAGCTTATTTTCTGATTGGATTCAATGCAATAGTGTTTACAGACAATACCTTTTTAAACTTCTAGTACAGTAAAACCTAGAATTCTTTTCAAGAAATATTGTATTGCGTTTCGTTTTTTCTTCTCGTATTTATCCCAGTAAATTTTCCGGGCACCGGAAAGACTAATTCGGCTCCGGTCAAAATTCCTTCCGGTCCACAACCGGACCAAATTTATTTTGTACACTCGCCGCGCCGGCTACGTGACGCGTAATCATATCACCCGGAAGTGGGGAACTATTACGAGATAGTTAGTGGTTTCGCGTCCAATTCGGGGCAAAAATTCGCCATGCTTTCGCCCTCTTTGGCCTTAACGAGCTGGGCAGCGGTCATTTTGGGTCCGAGGCAAAGGCCGTTTTGCTTAATGAACGTGCGTCGTTGCCGTTATGCTTTATTAAATGAGAGTGGGACGTGGAAGAATTGTGGATTTTGCAGCAGGATAGGGAAAAAACGGAGGATATTACGAGCTAAATTTATATGAGTGTGTATGAAAGTATGTGGGTATTATTTTTCTTTCAGGATATTTACGATAATTTCTTAATCAAGTCTTAATATCCACAAACGTCTCTAAAAAACGCTCAAATAAACTTTACTTTATGTGAAACGCCTTTACTGTTAACGCGTTTCACATACATTTGTAAAACCGGAGCCGATACCGATAACTAGCGTCTAAGTGCTACTAGTCTTTTCGACACCCAACAATATTGCCGTTTGTTGCCTCTTAATTTCATGATTTTCAATTGTTAGCTAAACTAAATACGTTTACAGTTTATTTCAAAGTTTGGTCGTTATTGGGTTTATTTTATTAGAACGTTCTTAAAAGCACAAATTAAGTATTAAGTATACTTATATTAATCATTAATCAGAATACTAAATAAACCAAAATTACGTGCTTCAGACAGTTAAAAATATATATGTGCGCGCTAGAATAGTTAAAAAATATATATGTATATTTTATAAATAAATGCGTATCACGTACAGAAAAATTATGAATTGAATTCAGGCCAAAATACCCGATGTTTTAGACTTGAAATTTATTGAAAAGGCCAATATCGACTCTAAAATTCAGCACAGAATTTGCAGCGCCTCAACATTAATTCTGGAAATTAAGCAATAATAATCTCCACCATGTTATATGGAAGCGAAACCTGGGTGCCGTACCGCCGCCACATGAACGCATTAAACAAGTTGCAAGAGAGGCACCTTAGACAACTGTTAAAAATCATTTGTACCACCATGTCTCAAACGTATCGGTCCTTGAAAAAGCCAGCTGCGAGAGAGCTCAAGTCATGATTAATAAATCCCGCTTAAGATTGGCTGGTCATGTATACAGAATGCAATAGAACCGCCTACGAAAATCTCTTCTTTACGGTGTGCTTGTAGACGGTAAGAGGAAACTGGGTGGGCAACTCAAAAGATACAAGGATATTTTCCAAGAAAAACTTACGGGGGTAAGCATGCAGAAACAGCGCACAATAGTGCGGCACAATAGAACGCAATGGAGGAAAATTGTAAACTCAGGTAACAATGACGACCAAGAAGTAAAGAGCAACAAAATAATAATATTTTTGAATGTTCGGGGTGCGGAAGACAGATAACATCACTTATCGGGTTTTTGAATCACTGAAAAGCTAACGAAAGAAAACGCTCTGGGTAACCATCTTCTGATGCGTGTCAAATACTTGTCAGCGAATAATGGCAGTAGCAAGTAAGTAAATACCTAATTCAACTGTAAAACAGTCACATACTAGGCATTATAGAATAGAAGTTCAACGAAAAATAGTTGGAAATTAGCATATTTAAATCTAGAAAGGTATTTATTATTTATTTATTTATTTTATATACACCATTCTACAGCAAAGGCGAATTACTGAATAGGTCGTATTGCATCAATTACAAATGAACAAATTCAGACATGACAAAATAAGTCTTCTTCTAGCGGTGCCGTGCCTGTCTTCAGGCGTTGGCGATCTCCATGACTATTTCGTGGAAGAGTTCTCTATCTTCTGCTGCATGAAACAGCCTCTCCACCCCCAGACCGGTCCAGTTCCGTATATTTCTGAGCCATGACAATTTCTTTCGACCTACCCATCTTCTACGTTCGACTTTTCCTTGAATAATAAAACTAGGAATATAATATTTGGTACCACGCGCATGTGTCTAAGCAAGTAGCTAACCTTTCTGGCCTTGATGGTAATTAACAGTTCTCGATCTTTGTTCAGCTGTCCAAGAACTTCCTCGTTGCTTGTATGTTCGGTCCAAGAAACCTTAAGGATTCTGCGGTAGCACTACATTTCAAAGGCTTCTATTTTATTTTATTTTAAACAAAATAAGTAATTGTAATAAAAGCCGCAAAACAAAACATATATAATAAAAATAGTCATCCGTACCACAAGATAGACAAAAAAACTCTCACTTCACTGCCAGGCAGTACGAAATTAGACGAGTCAGCTAATTCTTAATACTCTTAAGAAATAAAATCCACAGACAGCATTAATCTCTCAATGAAACTTCCTTATAATATAAAATTCCTTTAAAAATCCCGCAAATTTTCTTTTTCCTGATCATAAAAAAACACCACAGATTACTACTATATCTTTACCAATTACAAGGATTGCGTTTTCCACACAGTGACAGATATAAAGAGATCTGAATGGACCACCACGTACAGCTGTAGAACGGGTAAGGGTTTAAGTTTAAAGGACATTTAATACACCTTCCGCAAGTCCCTAATCTGGGCCCTAATCTTACAAATTAGTCAGGTAGAGCCGCAAATCCTATTAGAGTCGGATCGAGATGGATAGAGATCGATAGGGAAGGTTAGGAGGATAGGGATGATGTAAGGATACGATGTGGTTTACACCTGTATGTGTGTTTGTGCAGAAGATAGAGATAAAGTATATTCGCCAAGAAAGAAATTAAAGATAAAGAGACAGAATGAAACAAAAAATAATATATTATTTTATTAGAAGTAAAAATGATGCTTTTGTGGCAAGGCTGTAAGTTTAAAACACAAAAAATCATTTTTTTCCGAATAGAAGATGCTATTTTTTTCAAACATCACAAAAAATTTTGCAAAAAATGTCAAACGCTGCAAATAATATTAAAATATTTTAAAAGTAATTATTATATATCGAGAAACTATGGCTAGACTCGTCGAATTTGACAATTATTTATGTCATTTAAATATATTTTTTCTACAAACGTCAGTAAAAATGTAATTTTTAATGCATCCTGTCAGTGCCTAAAATGTGAGATTATGTCACTGATGGTAAAAGTCATTTACTTTTAGCACTAGTGCTAAAAGTAAGTCACGTGATTTACTTTTAACATTGAAGCGATATTACCATAGCAACCATAAACTTCATAATTAATTTGATTTTAGAATGACATATTATTGTGAATTATTCATTAACGTAAAAAGTAATAATACCTTGATATATACGAGCATAAACTTGTTTGTAGAAAAAATAGTGTATGATATGCGTGCTGAAAGTGATTTTATTTTGTTCGAAGGGATGGGACACTATGCCTTCGGCGTCGTGTCCCAAGCTTCCCTTCTCACAAAATAAAATACCACTTTTAGCACTTAATTTTTAATTTAACTATGGAGGGGTTTAAATATAAATCCGTCATGCGTCGTGTCTTGTTGTTTTTAACCAGTTTTATTGGTTTATTTAAAAAATGACAGATCGTATTTCAATTTTATTGGT